ATAACACGTTATCAGCACGATAGTTCTCTCCTTTTTTTCTTTTCCATCTTTGATCCGATCCAAAACTAAGGTATATGAATTGTCTTTGTGATTCGGTTGATATTATATAAGTTGTTGATCGAATAACACAAACGAATCATGCTTATTATTTTATTGCTTTGTCTTATATCAATCTTATTTAATTTGTTTTTATATGATTTAACTTGCTTGTTAATTGAAATTTTGGTAATACACATGCTGCTTCTATTAATCACTTTGAAACATTCGTCTTTCATTCGTTTCAAATTGTCTTTATGATTCTATTAATTCGCTTTGATAAAATAAAATAAAATAAAATTCGTTTTCAACCTGTATATTGATCGGTTGGTTTTATAAAGCATTAAGTATATAAAATTCGATTTTGAGTTATGTTTCTCAATCTGTCGTATTTGTTTGCTTATTTACTGTTAATCATAATCATGTTTCTGTTTTTATAATTAAAGTCAACCTCTTCTCGTCTTAGCATATAAAACTCGATTGAATATTGATCAGTTGCTTTGATAGAATACAAAGTATATAAAACTCGATTGAATTTGTTTTATCGTTTTAACTTATTGAATCTGTCTTATATGAGTTGACAAGTGTTTCATTATTTTCATTATTTATTGCATCTGTTTTATATGATTCGATCAATATATGTTCTGTTATTTCATCTGATTATTAAGATTTTGATAAGATACACATGTCTGCTTCTGAAATTCTCATATATCGCTTTGATAAAAGCATTCGTTTTCAATCCGTTTGCATTCATTTCAATCTGTATCACTTGTCTTAGAAAATATATGATATATAATCTAATATTATTTAATATTGATCTTTTGATTTTAAAAGCATACTGTATAACTTGATTTATTTACTTTAATCGATTTGTTTAAATGATTCTGTTTTATATGAATTGACTTTTATACCAATTAAATATTACTATCATATACGGCTCTGTTATAGTTATGCATATTGTTATATGGTTGTGTTTGATTTATTTGTAGTCTGATTTTGACATTAACGTAATATTTTTTA